AGAATTACATCTTAATATTTTTCATAGCTATAGTAAATACGAATGATTTAAAAACATGCCTTTCAAAACAAAAAAACAAAAAACAAAATATTTTTGTTTGAACTAAAAATGAAAACCTCATAGATTAAATGCTAGGATGAGAAAAATACTCAATATAATAAAAAAAAAATTAACTTGCATAACACAGATCTACTTGTTTGAGTTTCAACAACAGAAATTACAAATCTTTTCTCAGTACATAATGAAATTCCATAGTTCATTTTCATAACATCTCACTAAGACATGTTTCTTTGTTTAAACATATGAGCATAAATATTTAATTGCCATAACATTTCAGAATCTGTGTTGGCATAACGCACAGTAAACATTTATCTTGGTAATATTAAGATACTAACTTTTTTCTAAATGCTGTTTTCTCCCTTCTGTAGCAATAGCGAGTCTTGGAGGCACAGCTGAACTGGACCAAATAGAGCAATGAGTGACAGTGTTGATACTTTGGTTTAATATATCCATATCTGTAGGTCTTGTCTCTTCATAATTGATGCTTTTTATTAATATAGGAAGAGAATCATCTAATTACAAAGATAATCTGGATTTAAGCTATTGGAAAACCTGGAATTTCTTGCAGCCGCTTTCAAACAAAAGGCATGTTATACAATTCAAAGGTATATTATACAATTTTATTATACAACTTGGAAATTAATAGCTCACTTGATAGTTTGAATGTAGGCTTCTGTTAGTATGTACACAATCTGTAGTAGAATACATTGCTCATGCAATAAGAAGCTGTAATTCTTGAATTGCCATGCACAGTTGCTTCCACAGTTATTTCTTCTAAGCATTAAAACTAAAGGTAATGCAATTTTGAATCAAATACCTAGTAACTTCAGAAAAATGAAGTTGGGGGTATCACTTCATTTAGACATTCATTCACTTCATTTAGACATTTTTTGTTCCCCGCCTCGAATAAAAATACTTTGTAGTTCCCAAATTGATAAGTAGATGCCAGGTTCTCATTGCAGCAAACATGGCATGAAAGATGAGTAAATATATCAATGTTTTTAGCAAACCTTAAACTATATGTTCAAGAAGCATAAGTATAGCTTCAAAATGTTCTTTTAAAGTTGAATACAGTTTTCTAAATTATGAGAAGGTGATTTTTGAGCTATTGAAATTCACAATAAATAATTATTAGCAATTGATTCAGGTGTCTATAGAAACTCAAAGGCTGCAGAGGAGAGAAAAAATATTTATTGCTTTTGCACCATTATATGTGACTCTGCGTGCATAAGCATAAGAATATACACATGTGCATTAGAAATAATACAGACACGAGGAAGTTAAAATATGTAACTTTGTTCCCTCAAGCTTTGCACAGTAGAAACGTACTTCCCCTAGCCTTGCTACATAAGTGCCAATAGGTGTGACATCTGCATCAGCTCTTTCTAGTAGCTAATTTAGCCTTTCAGGTGAGACACTGGTGGGGGAATTGCAACCAGCTGTCCAAAGAGAGAGGTCATCTCTGAATTTCCGCAGTTACAAGCTAAGCAATAACAGTGATGTTGTCTTATAGCTCAAGCAAGCACAAACTTATTTGAGATTTGTAGCCAATTTTCATCAATTTCTATACTTTGGTACCTAGCTTTTAAAAGGCTTAATTTTTGACTTAGTAATTTCATATCTACTGGAGTTTTGAAATGTATTTGTTGAAAATTTAAGGTAGTCTCATTTTTTTGTGTTCTTTTTTTTTCCGAAAGTCTTTAAAGCAAATAGTTAAAATGGTATACCAATTGTTAATTTTATTTTACTAGTTAGTATTGAAACTCGGAGATCAGAGCATATGCACTTAGCTCATTTTTGAAAGGTGAAAGGTATACTCTGTAGAAGGAAATGACCCTTCCAGTAGATTTTTCTATGTCATGCATATGTTAACAAATTAGTTTGAACACATTCACTGTCCATGAGTAAGGATTTCATAGATCTGAGAATATGTTTTAAGAAAGCTTAATTCTACTCAAACTTAACGTTACAAAGTAATTCTAAGGCAATTTTATCTTGAATTGAAATTCTTGATGGATCTTTAAATGAGAACTAGTCTAGTTTGAGATAGCTTTTACTTAGGAAATGCACGACAATCCTTGTTATGCTAGGGAGCCTATTTTTGGGATGCGGGATAGTGAGGTTTTACTTATTTTTATTCTAACAAACTCAAAATTAAGATAATAGGAGCACTTTATTTGTTTCATGGGAGTTGGGTCGACTTCGTCAAGAACTGAGAAGTATGTGTTTAACTTGTCTAGCTTGTTCATTTTAGAGTGTTATTCTTTAAAAATTTAACTGAAATTTCACTGCTGTAACAATAGCTGTATTTTTATTTTTTTCCCACTGCGGTGTGTAACCATGTAGCTGATCTTTCTCTTTTAGAGAAAAAAGATGAAAAAAGATAATTACTGAGCACCTAGGCAGATCTTGCAAAACCTTATAGTAGGTACGAGGGTTTAATGCGTCAAGTAGTGATGATGGAATGGCAGGGAGGATGCTGAGTATTTGGATGCTGAAAGTGTAATTGCAAGTTGTCACATTTCCTTGATTACTAAGAGGAAATGTCAGACACTTGAAGTGAGTCAGGATGCCTTTTGCATTGGTGCTTGCAGGACTCCGGCATGCGGGCTATAGGCTGGCTATATGTACTGCTGGGAGCTAAGTCAGTCTCAGTTGGGCTTGTGTATACCAGTGTTCACCAGGACTCTTAAACCAGTGTTAAGCCTTGAAACTTTTGCATCAGCCTTACATAATTTGGATCTTCCATTCAGTGCAAAAAATATACTGATTTTAAGCACATATTGTCAGAGCTAAACCAGATTAAGCCTTCTCTGCCTCCTTCCTTATGTGGTGGTATTTTGGGCATTGTATGCCAGTTTAGTTTAGTTCATGCAACTAGCATGTAGCATAAAAGAAGACTTTTTTTTGTTTAGTTAAATTATGTGTATGAATACAATTAGTATATTTTGTTATGTCATATTTTCTATGTTAAAATAGGCTTGTGCTATGCCATTCATTAAACAGATAAAGCGTTATGAAATGGTTAAGGAGTATACGATAATATTCTTCATAATGCTCTAAATAGCTATAGCAATCTTATGACTTTGTCAAGTTTTGCATATGAAAAGGAGCCTAGTACCTACTACTGTGATCACAGAATCATAAATGCCTCTAAAAATTATCATAGTTCTATGCATGTCATGAATCTTTCATAATCTCAAAGATATTATTGAGCAATTACAGAAAATTAACTGTACTGCACATGTGCTGCAGTTAGGTGTGTTACTGTATATAACATGTATATTTAATTCATAATTTAGTCACTCATTCAAGATGAATGTTGCTGTTTTCTCAGCCTTTCATATCATTCTTAACTACTTGATTGAAAACACCTTTGCAGTTATACAGATATTTTGCTTGTCTACTAAGACTAAGCCTTCAGGAGCTTCCGAAATGCTGTTTTTCTAGTGGAAGTATACTATAATGGCAAAATAATGGAGAGAGGTCTTTGGGGAAGTAGGGAGTTACTTTTGTTTTAAGAGTAATACTTTCTTGATAATCTGTATTGGAAGCTTAGATACTTATCACAAAGATAAGCTGTCTCGATATTTTTAGAGCCTTTG